TCTTTCTGTTTAGAAAGAAAAATATCCAATCTGTGACAAGTATAAATAGAATAATTAAAACCTGATCTTCCTTTTCACTTTGAATGTTACTCTAACCAAATATTATTGGAAATGTTTCCATAGTTATGATATTCAAACTATTTGTTTATAATTGTTACATTGTAATATTTTCTGAGAAATCTGTGACGAGTGCCGAATCTTTCAATATAGCGACTACAAGTATCACATACTGACAAGATTGTTTGCTATGTGCTAGGAATAGTTGTCATGGATTAAATGAATACAAAAACACTTTCGTAAAACAAACATTACAACGTCATTTTTTCTTTGTAATGACAGATATAGAAAAGATTAACAGCTTAACATGAATATGTGTGAAAATTAATTTTCTTTGTGTCGTTGCTAGGGGAGTGGTGTTGTTGTTATGGAAATAAGTCATTATACAATATTCAATATAAACTTGCTACATTTTATATTCTTTCCGAACTCTCAACATGCAATTATCAGCATATTACTTGAATATCTAATTCCATGACAAACAATATGATGCCAAAGTCAAATCTGCTTTACAGGAGACACATGGCACAGGGAATCGTTGCCATGGGTTGATTAAGTACCAAAAAATAAAAAATAAAAAAAATAAAAAAAAGCAGCATTTCATTGGCAATTTTGCTCTACCACATTTTTCTGCCTTAATTAAAATAAGCTTTAATAAGATTACATGTATACACGCCAAAATTACCTTTCTTTGCCTTGTTGCTATGGGGAAAAGGTTGTTGCTATGGAGACAAAGAATGATGCAATATTCAATAGTTTGCAAGGGAGTTCGAATTTAATTATACTATTTTAAATTTTGTATCTTGTTTATCATAGATAACAGTTCATTTGATTTTTCCGTTAACTTTTTACATGATTTCTCATCATCAAAACGACCATATTTGTTGCTAGGCAACAGATTTAATTTTTAAAAGAGCCCATGGATTTGACTTCAAAATTCAAAAGAGAAATTCCTCTGCTTTTATGTGAAATACACACAACAACTGTATTAATCTGCCCATTTTTAAAATTTGGCCTTGAATATTGCCAAAATCACGAAAAATGCTGAATCAGCTAAAATTGTAAAACATGTGTACATGTGTACCTTCCAACGTCTAACACAGAACTGACTTAAGACCTAAATATTTTTTATTACATTGTTAGAACACTTTAAATGTGTATCTTTATTACATCAATAAGTAAGAATAATTCTCATTGTATCAACATGTTATTTTAAGCCTTAAAGATAGGTGATTTTTGGTCCATCAACAGTGAAAGGTCTGCCGGTTGCTAAGGAAATTTCTTTGGTCGGGTTTCCATGGTAACCATGTCTCAAAACATTTTTCATTTTACATACATTGTTCATACTTCAAAATAAATCTATGAGTTAAGAAATGAATGTAATAATTTTTTCTTTGATCGATGTATCAAAGAAAAATTTGGACGGAAAACTTCATCAATGCGCGTAGCGCATTGATGAAAAAGTTTTCCGTCCAAATTTTTTCTTTGATACATCGATCAAAGAAAAAATTATTACATTCATTTCTTATCATTTAATTATGATTTTAAATTATTAAATTAAAATTTCTTTCAATTTTCTATTAAATTTATGTATCAAAAACAGTGCGCACGAATACATCACCATAACGTTAACGTTAATTGCTGAAAATTCAAAATGGCTCTAACCATGCTAACGAAAAACGTAATCAAATATTGTCGTGTGATTACCAACAGTCTCCAAAATAATTTACAGTTCTTTAACACAAAAAATACCTGTTGTGTTATCCCCTCTGGGTATATTTTCCCCGGTAAGTTATCTAAGTTCTTAAATGTAAAGGGAAGCTACTCAAATATCCTAACAGTTCTACGTCACAGAAATTTTGGATTTCATTTGCGCATCTTTTCATTTGAATTTCAAACCGAATATATAAATACGTATCATAACCTGTCAATGCTGTAATACCTGAAAGAGTCTGCTGCCGATAGTTCAAGATTAAAGAATTCCGTCCTCAATTCATGCAGTGTCGTTTTTCTCGATCACTCGTTTCCCACGATTTAACAGATTTTCGGTTTTCCCCGCTTTGGTAGCATAATAAAACATTTTTTCAGAGTTCTATTGTTTCATACCAGATATCTCAAAGTCAAACATTTAAGAAAATTATGTCGATTAAACGATTTCTTCCCTTCTTTCCCGTAACTGTATTGTCGTCATGCAGACGATTTTAATTTGTTTAGCAAAGGGGGATAATTCAAAATGAAACGAAAGTAGAAAGTAAGTCAGGAAGCTAACGGACAGGTTCCGAAATTCAGGAAAATATTTATTAAAGCAAAGGTATTTAATTATTCCTTCAAAAAGTAACCTGGAAGCGGGGAATACACATGTACCGACTGTCAAATAGTTCCGGCTGCTTAGTGCAACCGAACTCTAGATTTTGTTGATGCAGTTATCAAAAGAATTTTTTATCCAATCAGAATCAAGTATTTTATAGAAATTAAATGATTGGAAAATCATCAAATTCTGAGAGACCTCATATATCACCCTTTGTCTGATTTTTATGTGGACTGGTACTTAACACCAACGAATGAAAATGAGATTAACTCCGCCCATTCTGTGACGTAAGCGGTCCAACATCTCTCTGAGCGGTCCAATATCCATTTTTTTTATGCCCGCTCAGCAAAACATTAGAAATGTTAGACTGTTTTTCGTATAGATTTGTATAGGAACAAATTTTTAAAGGTATAACAATATATAGTTGTAGAGTGTTGAGATAAACATTTTTGCTTCTGTTATGTATAACAAAATATGGACTGTTAAAGCGTTATCGATTCAAAACTTTTGCCCCCCCCCCTCAGCCCCTAATTTAAGTGTCAAGCCCCTTTTTCTTGATTTTCACTTAAAGCTCCCAAGATTTTGAACACTTTTTGCTCAAAAAGTATTCAGAGATTCTTTTTTGTTTCCGAGATATTTGCACATGAAATATTTAGGGACTTACCCTCCAACTCCTTAATGGGGACGTTTAGCAAAAAATGAAAGAATGCATATTGTTCAGAATATTTATCTGAACAACTTTTGTTCAATGTTACTTATCAAAAATTCCCCACTTGCGAGATATAAAGTGTCAAAGATTGAGCATTCTGGTCCCTTGTGGCCCCTATTTATGTAACATACGACAAAAAAATCATAATATATAGTTGTAGATTGTTGTGATAAACATTTTTGCTTCAATTATGTTTAGCAAAATGTTGACTGTTAAAGAGTTATTGATTAAATACTTTTGACCCCTATCAGCCCTTAATGTGATGAGTCAGCACTTTTTTCTTGGTATCATATTGAAGATCTTGTCGTTTCGTACAAGTTTTGTTCAGAATGTTTTTAAAAATAATTATACTTTAAAAGATATTATGCAAAATGTCTGAAAAAATCACTCATGATTTGTATCCTAAATTTCGACCCCTACCGAGCTTCCATATTACTCGTTTCCAGAAAATACCCTGACCCAGGTGCAACATGGCAACATGTCCTCTATCATCCCTAAAAATTTCAGCTTTCAAGCTTGATTTCTTTTTGAGTTACAAAACAGACAAGGAGGTCCTCTAAATTTCGATCAAAGGGCGATAACTTCCGACCGGAAGTAAATTTCAAAAAAATTACTTGCCGGAATTAACTTCAGATGTCAACGCATCGACCGTGAAAATTTGAAGCAAATCGAACGCGACATCTTGGAGAAATCTTCTGCACAAATTTTGTAAGGAGAAAAAGAATAATAATACGAGTATAGGTAAAAAAGAAACAGAAGAAAAATAGAAGGGTCTTCTGCTGAAGACGGAAGACCCTAACAAAACTGCAGTGAATAATATACCTTCACATTTTTCATTTACTTTGAAGTAGAAAATTCAGTCTAAAAGCCTGTCCGAAATTCACCGGATCCGAAGTAATATTTTTCCGGAAGTAAACAATGGATGATGCGTATGCAGTCGTAATAATACGCAGAGGAGTACTTTGTTTACTGGTGTGATTTACAATTAATATTTTCAGCTTTTAATTTTCATTAATTTGAGTTAATATAGCGTAAATTTAATTCATGTGTTCTCCCCACAACTTTCATTTTAAGGAATCGACTGATAGTAACCTAATAGACACTAATAGACCCTGTCTAAAAAAGACATCCTAAAGAGAAAAGGGGAGCCCGGTAAGGGACATTTATTGCTTATGCAATACTCTCAGAATACTTGTCTGGTTTGCGTTACACTCCTGGGATCAGATCGGAGTGCCATCATGTATGTTAATGTTAGAATCAATTTAGAATTTTATTTTTCCACTAGTGGTAAGAGTTGACAAAGAAGCTAGCTAGGAATTCTAAATTGTACTCTCTGGTTAATTGTTCATAAAGTTTCTATATGTATATAAATAACATCCTTTCTTGTATTCTCAAAATACAAGAAGAACAGACAGCTAGAAGGACGGTGAACACCTTACTGTTGCATAATCTCTTCTTGTCTCTGAAAACAGAGAAAGTAAAACAAATACCGTATAATCCCTATTTATTGCCCCGAGCGCTTAGAAAATTGCAAAATGGGTGATTATTTTGGTTTTCTAGTTATAATTTTTATGTCATATTTCTACTACTTCAAAAAATCAGAAATTACACAAGGAGAACAAATCTTGAAGGTAACTTTCAATTTCAGTTATATACATAATGATTAGGGCGTTCTAAAAATCTTTCACTTTCAGGAATATTTTACGTAGATGTTACCCAATAACCAGTTTTCATTTTCACTGTCTTCAAAATTATGGCGCACTTTTGATGCAATTCTAGATGATTTTAATCACCGTACAGGGGTCCTATTTCGATCCCGACAATTGAGAAAGACCTAGGGGACGATTATAGGGGTTAATAGGGATTATACGGTATGGGTATGACTATTTATGAGTCATTTTCAATTTTTAAGTATCATGAATATACCTTTGATGATAAATGAGATTGTACATCTTGCAGTATTCCCTCCATTATCTACTGCTGTGTATGTGACATTTAAATCCCTGGACACCACTGTACCACTTTTGAAATTGGGAGGATCCACAGTCACATTCTTCACCAGTCCAGAGTTGTCAGTGGCAGTGGGGGTAACAAAGCTCACAGCCTCCATACTGTCAGTGTATATTGTTTTAGGACAGTTGTTGAACTCTGGAGGTGTAACATCTGAAAATGAAAGAGGTCTACCAATCCACCTGTCAAAGTTAATTCAACATCCAAATTGAACATATGCTACCTGTTCACTATACCTTATAAAAGACTTAATGATAAGTTAAAAGAATGAAAAATTTTGTTACAATTTTCCTGGAATGATGTCATTTAATTCAAACATTCAATGTAAAGTTGAACTTCAGTATCCCAAACATCAGTATTTCAAATACCTTCAAGTTGGATAAATTGAAGTGATTTGGGAAATCTCAACACCATTCAATTCTGTAAGTATTTTGCCTGATTATCTCGAATTTTTGTGAGGTCCCATTGAGTGTGAGATAATGAGTGTTAATGTCTTTTGAGTACAGGTGACTCTTGATCTCTCAAAGTTCAAAGGACCGCAAGAAAACTTTGAGAGATCTAGGGGTTCGAGAGATAGAAAGTAAATATGTAATATCCTGAATTTTCAGTTCTCATCATCAATGTTCTACTATAATAGATATCAGAAGTACCGTACAGCCGTTTTTTTTTTTTCTTGTTTTTTTTTTTTTTGTTTTTTTTTTGGCGGTACACAAATTTGGCGATTTTAGTTTGCCAAGGTATACCATTAATTTTGGCATATAATATTTTGGTAAATTAAAAATCTATTATATACTGTACGTAAAGTCACATGCATAGGCCGTGCTCTAGGAACGGATGCACCCCAAAGTTGGTGGGAAATCCTAAGGAAAATGCAGATACTATGGACAAAACACACCCTAAAAACATGCCTGCTAATCGATCAGTTGCACAACCAGCAGTTGTGTATAACAATCAAAAGATCGATTTCCGGTTATGCATTCGATACAAATAATTCCAGTACACAGGTAGTAAATTGACCCGATTCAGGCAATAATTGATATTTTTATTGATATATAAGAATGTGATTCCATGAGCAATTTATTTTTCTTTTATATTACACTCTCATAAAATGCAATGATTGTCGATTAGCGGCGATATTTGTTTCGAAGCAAGGGCTGGTAGAGCGAAAGCGCTGATTGAAAATAGTATTTGCCGACTAGAATTCGTGTTAATCTCAACTAACCTTGAAAATTCAATATCCACCATGAGTATGCAACAAGTGCATCCTATTCACCAAAATTTGAACTTCGAATTGTGTATTTTTTGACAAATACTTTAAATAAATAACATTGCCTATGCATGCGATTATTCGGTTGTGAAAGAGATTTCGGGTTATGCATGAGATAAAGGACAAAAAGTTTCAAACAGCATATAATTATAACGTAGTCTTCCAAAATTTTAAAAGTAAAATATAAAATAAAATTATAGAATTTTCCTGCACACAAGTTGAATTTGTAAAAAAGGGATATTTAAGATTAACATAAGTAAACTGTTGAAGTAGATCTGTGGGATTGAATTACATAAATTTTCAGCATAAATCATGTGTGAATTTTTTAGCATAACAAGAGGCCCATGGGCCTTATAGGTCACCTGAGCATTATGCAACAACTATCCAGTGATTGAATTTGATTCATGTTTTAAGCCAGATGCTATGGCATTTACAATTTTGAAAGAGGCACCTGGCATTGATCTTCATAACTATACACTTAGCAGTTTCTTAGTTTGGTTACTTAATACCCATCGGCAGGGTAGGGGAACAAAAAATGCATTTCAACTAATCAGTAATATTCAGCAAAAATCAGTAGTGCCCCTTCCACACATGAATCCCTGACCCTTAGGCCTAGATCCACACATTGCACAATTTTTGAAAAGGCATCCTTGCTTTTGAAAAATATTTGATTAACACATGTACAAAGGTGCAGATTTCAAATAATTCATTCATTTTCAGTAAATAAGTACAGCCCCCCCCCCCCCTCTATGGTACCCCTGATCCTGGGGTCTTGAAATTCACAAATCTGGAAGATTAGGGCCCTTGCTCATAACTATATAGGTAGTTCATCTGCTTAATACCCAGGAGCAGAGAAGAAAATTTTCAAAGATATAATGTATTTTCACTATGTAATCAATAGAGCCCCAAACTAACACCAGAACCCCTGACCCTTGGGCCATAAAATTCACAATTTTGGAAGAGGCATTCTTGCTCATCATAATTATGTACTTAGTTAGTCTATTTAATACCCAGGAGCAGAGAAGAAGATTTCAAAGAATTCATGTATTTTCACTATGTAATCAATAGAGCCCCACCCTAACACCAGAAACCCTAACCCTGGGGCCATAAAATTCACAATTTTGGTAGAGGCACTCTTGCTCATCAAAGCTATGTACTTAGTTAGTCTATTTAATACCCAGGAGCAGAGAAGAAGATTTTCAAAGAATTCATGTATTTTCACTGTATAATCAATAGAGCCCCATCCTAACACCAGAACCCCTGAGCCTAGGGCCATAAAATTCACAATTTTGGTAGAGTCACTCTTGCTCATCATAACTATGTACTTAGTTAGTTTATTTAATATCTAGGAGCAGAAAAGAAGATTTTCAAAGAATTCATGTATTTTCACTATATAATCAATAGAGCCCCACACTAACACCAGAACCCCTGACCCTGGGGCCGTAAAATAGAGGCACTCTAGCTCATCATAACTATGCACTGAGTTGGTTTATTTAATACCCAGGAGCAGAGAAGATTTTCAAAGAAATAATGCTTTTTCACTATATACTTATTTAGCCCCACCCTAGCACTAGAACCAATGACCCATGAATTTCATAATTTTGCTCAATGCTGATTACAATCATGCAAACAGTTTGACTGCTTGATGTCCAGGAGTAAAGAAGAAGATTTTTAAAGATTGCATTAATTTTAGTGGTTTTGGTCCCACCCCTCAGGCCCCAGGGGGACAGGGATCATGAAATTCATAACGTTTGTTTTCCTTCACCCACAGATGCTTTGTGCCAAATTTGGTTGAAATTGGTTCAATGGTTGCAGAGAAGAAGCTGAAAATGTTCAAATGTTAACGCACACCGCACTACGCACGACGCACAACGCACGACGACGAACAAAAACGGATAGCAATAGGTCACCTGAGAAACTCAGGTGACCTAAAACTCCAACGAATCTTTAATATGCCCATTATGCAAAAACAGCATATTAACTTCTTTCAGTATACCAAATTGTTTTACTCAAACATACCTTATACCTTTATTTAACTGTACTGCAACAAAAGTGGTGGGATAAGTCGAATCTTCATACTTTCACTTCATATTTTATTGTAAAAAGTTTTGTCTGTAAAAAAAGTTAGACGCAGACCTCCGATGATATGTGTTTGCCATGCGGTTAAAATTTCTTGGTGTTTCAACGCTGAGTATCCTGAATTCTGTTGTCAAGCTGGGATCAACACGACAACGCCACATCACAGTTACTTGTGGACAGGAACAACAACCCCCCACCCCCATATTCAACCCCCTGGCTTGTTGGACACTTTTTTCACAAATTATATTTATTACACTTATTCATCATGTATACCATAGAAAAAAAAAATCGTCAAACCCCAAAATAATTGTTCATTAAAAAAATACCCCTAGTATACATTACAAGTAAAATTCATGCAAAGCATCAAATCGGCCGCAAAAATTTCAAAAATTACTATCACAATTTCAAAAGCATCTATGCACAGGAAGCACAAGATATTAATGCTAAAATAGATCATTTTTATTTCAGACTGTCTTCAAAGCAAAATAAATATATTTTTTAACAAGAGGCCCACGGGCCTTATAGGTCACCTGAGTATTGTGTAACAACTTTCAAACAATTAAATTTGATTCGTGTTTTAAACCAGAGGCCATGAAATTCACAATTTACAATTTTTAAAGAGGCACCATTGCTTATCATAATTATTAACTTAGCATGTTTACTCCATTTACTTAATACCCAGAGGTATATCAGAGTAACAAAGAGAAAATGCACTTCCACTTTATACCCAGTTGTGCACCTCACCCTAAAGGAACCACTGATCCATGGGCCACATATTCAAAATTTATCATAAAATGGTTGATTAATACTAAAGAGCAGATTTCAAAGCATTCATTTATTTTCAGACTATGTACCCCCCCCCCCCTCTGACCCTGGGGGCATAAAAAAAACACTTTGCTAGATGCACCTTTCTTCATCATAAATATATTGGCATGAAACCCAGAAGCAAAGGAAAATATTTTCAAAGAATTTATTTTTACTACTGAGTATATAATCAATAGAGCCACGCCCTAACACCAGAACCCCTAATCCTGCGGCCATAAAATTCACAATTTTGGAAGAGGCACCCTTGCTCATCATAACTATGTGCTTAGTTAGTTTATTTAATACCCAGAAGCAGAGAAGAAGATTTTCGAAGAATTAATGCATTTTCACTATATAATCAGTAGAGCCCCGCCCTAACACCAGAACCCCTAATCCTGGGGCCATAAAATTCACAAATCTGGAAGAGGCACTCTTGCTCATCATAACTATGTGCTTAGTTAGTTTATTTAATACCCAGAGAAGATAATTTTCAAAGAATTAATGCATTTTCACTATATAATCAATAGAGCCCTGCCCTAACACCAGAACCCCTGACCCTGGGGCCATAAAATTCACAGATCTGGAAGAGGCACTCTTGCTCATCATAACTATGTACTTAGTAAGTTTATTTAATACCCAGAAGCAGAGAAGAAGATTTTCAAAGAATAAATGCATTTTCACTATATAATCAATAGAGCCCCGCCCTAACACCAGAACCCCTGACCCTGGGGCCATAAAATTCACAAATCTGGAAGAGGCACTCTTGCTTATCATAACTATGTGCTTAGTGAGTTTATTTAATACCCAGGAGCAGAGAAGAAGATTTTCAAAGAAATAATGTATTTTCACTATATAATCTATAGAGCCACGCCCTAACACCAGAACCCCTGACCCTGGGGCCATAAAATTCACAATTTTGGAAGAGGCACCCTTGCTCATAATAACTATGTGCTTAGTTAGTTTATTTAATACCCAGGAGCAGAGAAGAAGATTTTCAAAGAAA